ATAACAAAATACCCCCCCCAAAAAAATATAGAAAAACATTAGCATAAACAGCATCATAAAAAGCTAAAAGGCAGTAGCTCCTCCAGCTATATGACTGCTAAACAAACAAATACAAGATTTGGGAATTCTAGCGCTCATGTGGAAGGGTGTGTTCAGAAAAAATGCTTGGGGGCAGGTTTGATAATTGTTTGGGGAATGGACATTATGAGCTATTGCAAACCGTTAATAAATCTTTCCCCCTCTCCAGAATGAGATAAAGGGGGCTTAAATGCCGTTGGAAATACCTGAAATAGTAAGCTTATCCAATTTGCACATTATTCTACATAATCCGTTTGCTTATGTCATTTTGTTGTTATTGCTCCTGTTGAGAGTTATTTTGTTACTGTGAAACAAGACATAAAATAATTGAGAAATAAAATAGGATGTCAAATGCAGGAACTCATAGCAACCCATCAGCACAATCCTTTATCTTGGTTGCTATGGGTAACTACATAGGCGCGGAAGCTCAGCACGCTGGTAAAATTGTAGCAATGTTAAAATAGTATTGTCGCTTAAATGCTGCGGTGTTCTTACAGATTAACAAGTGTGTTGGTAGATAAAGTCAATTCTCCAACGTGTTTTGAAATGCAAAAGGCATCGCTGGGATTACCAGTGATTTTAGGTTCTTTTTTTTTATAATTTTTTTTTTCTGAGATGCGCTTGAGTATCTTAGGCAGACATGTAGGTTTATGGTAAGTTGTTTACAATAACAGTGCAATAAGAATTAACATTTTCTCATGCTGTTTGACGTTTCGTTGAGCTGCTGAAGCAACACATTAGATAAAGCACAAGATGTTTCATTTTGCTCGGGTAATCTACTTATGGAAGGCACTGTAAAATCAATCTTGCCAAGCTGAAGGGACTAGCAGTACTCTAAATTCTATTTGCATGAGCCATCCAGTTCATAACAATGCTAGATATTTAAATACAAATTGAAAGTGGATCAAGAAAATGCTTAGCTGCAATTGTTTTTTTTTTTTTATTTCTCCTTCCTCCTCTCCTTTGCAGAATGGATATATTTTCTATTTCTGGAGAGTCTGCTTAGCTGGAGAGTAGATCTATGAAAAATAATGAGGTGAATGAAGCCTAACTGTACCTAGCCTTGACATAAATGAAAAGCAGTGTATTGCAGCAGGTGAAGTGAAGCATTGTCTATCAGGACTGTTTTTCTTGGCTGCATCTCAGATTGTGTGTGTGGGATCCTCACCTCAGGCACAATAGCATTCAGAGACTGCAATACACGGCTGCTCATTCTGCAGCTTCACATAAATACTCATTTCCAAACCCCAGCAATCTTATTAAAGACTATTCATTACACACACACACACACACACACACACACACACACACTATTACAATGTTATCTAAACTGTAACATGTGCACTTTATAATAGAGACCCAGGTACAAAATGATTTACATTTTCAGTGCTCATATCAGATTATGCAGTGATCATATGGGGACCATATCTGAATATTTGTACTTTACTGTATCCCTTGCTGGTTTATATAGTTTAAATGGTACAGACACATTCCCATTGCCAACTAAAGCACTCAGGAGTGTCCCTTAGGTGCTCAAAGCCCCAGTTTATACCTTTGTGATAGTCACCTCGTTCTCCCCTCTCCCTGAGTGTAAACCCAAAAAGAATCGAATATTAATACAGTCTAAGATGTAACTGGTGGAGCAACCATCAAGATAGCAATGCCCTGCAGCTGAAATAATATTAAAAATAGAAGGGATTTGACATTTGAGGAGTCAGTGGCTTGAAATACCCAGTTGTACTTAGCTAATTCAGTCCTTAACCTCTGGTTTCAAATAAATCAATTACAGTCGATTCCACTTCAGTTCAGAAGTGCAGGAGAATTTTTAGTTAATTAAATACAGTTTATTCATTTGGTATAAATATTCATATTTTAAACTCCATTCTCCCCCAACATAACGCCCATTTTTAAACAAGCCTAAAAGAGAAACTCTGGAGAGAGGATTTAGTAATGGGAGACAACTTTTACTTTCCACAGCTGAATGCTCACTTAGTGAATACAGTAAAACTAAGTTCACTTCCATGATCCAACCATAACGAAGCAAAAATCCAGGTTCTCTTGCACGTGATTTAAGAGTTATTTACTAAACTGTCTAAAACAACCCATTATACAATGCCTTTATTATATTAATGTCACAAGTGAATGTTTTTCACTTCAGTTAATTTCCTGCACAATGTACCCAGTCTACATTCTCTCTGCTTCTTGAGTATGCTGATACACTTTTGCAGGTTGCATAAAGTTCCATTGTTATCAGAGTGCTCCTTGCCGTTTCCTCTGTCAAGTGGCCTGTTTTTTGCTGTGGGTGAGTGTTTGGAGAGGAAAGGGGTTAATTAGCGTCATTATCAATCACTAATGCTTTCCTAACGTGTCCAAAGAATAATCGAGCTTCAGAGGTCTGCATGGAGCCAACATCTGCTTTACCCGGTTAGAGCTCTCATCCTAGGCTTCCCAGCTATTGGCAGTTCACTCACGTCTTGTGCTGAATTGTGTGTGTATTATTGGCATATAAAACATGCTCCAATCGTTATAGATCCTGGCTACATATAAATAACAAATGCAGATTTTTTTTCCCTTCTATAGGAATTGCAGGTGCAAGACAAAGATGATAAAACCACAGGTCATTTTTCATTGTTCCCATTGTTTCCTAGGCTCCGCTGTTCCCATGATTTTGTCTAACTTAATTAAAAACAGCAAATAAAATAATGCCATGTATTCAATACCAGCACCTTAAATAGTAGCCTCCTCTAGCAATAGATCTTAAAGGGATAGTCAATGAAGTACACATTACTTACATATAATTGTTTTCTCTGACTTAATATATATAATAGTTGTATGGTATATCAGAGCTGAACATAGCAGTAGTCAGTGACATTGGACTAGACTTGTTCTTTAATGCTGAATTCTTGTGTTATGAATTATAAGTTAGAGTTACCTGTGTGGCTATAGATGCATGTATGTGTTCCCGACACTCAGAACTGAGGAAACTACTTAGATAAGTGTGGAAACGTCTTCATCATTCCAGAACAAGTCCAACTTAAAGTGACATTAAACTCAGGAGTTAAATCTTAAAATTGCATTCAAATACCTTAGCTATTAACAAAAATGTATTTTATTTCTGTTTTATTATTTCTATTTTAGTATTTTATTTCTCTGTAGGGCTGAAGATCCTCAAAGCCTCTCTGCTTTTTTTGCTGACAGTCCTTCTCTCTGGAGGGTGGCTACTTTTGTTCCCCATCATCCCTGTGTGTGTTGTAAAGTAGCCACAAGCCTCCAAGCTCGCTCCTGTGATGGACTACAATCTCAATACCAATTAGTAAACTAAACATGAGATTGTAGTCTACCATGGGAGCCAGCTTGGGGCGATTGCTACCTTACAACACACATAGGGACCATGGGGAACGCAAGTAGACACCCTCCAGAAGCAAGGGCAGTGTCAGCACCAATTCAGAGATGATTTGAGGATCTACAGCTAAGTTATACACAAATAAGGCAAAGTATTGTTAATAAGTAAGGTACTTGAATGCATTGTTAAGATTTAACTCTTGAGTTTAGTGTCACTTTAAGCTTCCTAAGGTCACATGAGTGTTATGTATTATAAATGAGTTACCTGTGGGGCTATAGATGCTGGGGTGTGTTCCCAAGACTTAAAGGAAGCTACTTGGATGAGTGCCCAAACTTCTTCATTATTACAGAACAAGTCCAGTTTATTGTAACTACATACTACTATCAGTATATCATGACCTAGATAAATGAGAACCTTCAAAGACAGAACTGAAAATATATGATAATAATACCAACCTTTACAAGCAGAGCTGACAATATATTCTGATATGAGATA